ATAATTTCTAGAGTAACAATCGTCAAGGTGGACGAAACTTCAATGGAGGGGCTAAGAACTATAACCTGGGAAATAATAAGGAAGGAAGGCGTTATTTCTGTAAGAGGTGCAGGAATAATCACCCTGGAAAAGACTGCTAGGGCAACCTAGTTACTTATTGTGCTTGCAACAAGTTGGGACATAGGGAGTATGATTCTCTAAAGACTCTAATCGCAACAATTAGGGAAATAATCAAGGAGGGGCACAAAGGAACTTTTAGGGAAACAACAACTATGCCGGGAACAAAGGGGCACAACAGAATGGGGTAAAAAGCAACAATAATGGGATGGGAAGATATGTTGCGAACTTGCGTCATAGACTTCCAAGGGGGATAGGAAGATAGCTTGGACTTAATTGAATTTTCTTATAACAATAGTTATCATGTGAGCTTTGGCATGGCTTCATTTGAGGCATTATATGGAAGGAAGTGTTCTAGTCCTGTATGTTGGAGCGACATAAGTGAAACAATGATCTTAGGGCCTCAAATGATCGAGGATACAGTTAAGCAGTTAAAAGGGATTCAAGCTAAGATTCAAGCGGCACAAAATCGTCAAAAGAGTTATGCAGATTTGAAATGTAGGGAGGAAGAGTTTGAGTTTGGCGATAAAGTGTTGTTGAAGGTGTCACTAATGAAAGGTGTCAAGAGATTTACAAAGAAAGGAAAACTTAGCCCAAAGTATATTGGTCCATATGAGATATTACAGAGGATAGCTTATAGGTTGGCCCTACTTATGGAACTAAGTAAGGTGCATGATGTATTTCATGTGTCTCAGTTAAGAAGGTATATACCTGATAAGTCGCACGTGCTACAACCTGAAACAATTGAATTAGATCAAAGCTTAACTTATGAGGAAAGACCTGTCAAGATCCTTGACAGTAAAGTGCGTAGTACACGCAACAAGGGAGTTAAGATTGTTAAGGTGCTATGGTCTAACCAAGAATATGAAGAAGCAACTTGGGAAGCTGAGGATGAGATGAAAAAGAAATACCCTGAGTTGTTTGAGGTATGTTAAGTTACGGGGACGTAACTCGTTTTCTTTAAGGGGGGTAGAATGCGGTAGATTTTCGCGCTTTTTTCCTCTAATTTCAGTTATTTTAGTGCTTTTGCACATTTTTAACGATTACTTCAAGTACTTTTGATTTCAAGGAGACATTGATGAGTGACATTTATGTCACTCTTAGGAGTAGTGTTTAGGTCTCTTTCCTCCTATTTTCTTAGGTCTTTCTACCTCATTTCTCCTCTTATGGCTTCTTTATGTGTTGATGAAAAGTATGCTTATTTGCGCTTGTTTTGATAATCTTTATGCATTATTTTATCATCCCCTTTCTCTCGTGGTTTTTGCTATCTTTTGTAGGTTCCATGGCGGTCCTAAGCACGGTGGGAGGCCCCTTGGCCAAGCTTGGAAGTATGGATAAAGGCAAGAGGAGCAAAGGGAAGGAGAGGAAGCAAGAAGAGGAAGTGCAAGAGGAGGAGTGGATGAACCTATGAAAGGTTCGGTCGAACCAAGGTGTGGTCAAACTTTTCAAAAGTTTGACCGAACTTCCAGGGTGCAAATGAGGAAGTTTCAAACCAGTTTTCAACGATTTTGCAGGAGGGTTGAACCTCAAAAGTTCGACCAAACAAGGAGCAGGGAGGTTCGGCCGAACCTACCCAGATGTCCGACTGAAACCTACCCAGAGTTCGGTCGGACCTTTTCCCGATCTCAGTCGACTTTGTACGAACTATTTAAGTCCTTTTTTATAACATTTTTGGGTAGATTAGATTAGCTTAATTTTCTGGTTTTATTACCCCTAATTTAGAGAGAGAAACACGCTTAGTTTAGCTTTTTAGAGAAAGAAAGTGTGGATTTTTCCATTATTGAGCTTGGATTTTGAAGAAGAAGCTTAATCAACCTCTTTGTAGACTTTCAACTTCAATCAATGAGCATTTCCTTACTCTTTTCTCTTTATCTTGCTATTTAATTTTGCTTTAGTTTGCATTTGTTTTGTTGATTACTCATTAATCATGCCTTTGCTTGTTGATTTCATGATTAACTTGTTAATTTCCATGGATAAAGAGTAGTTCTTTAGGTAAAGGTGTGGGGATGATGTAGTTGGAATTTATTCATGCTTTGGTTTGGAATTCAGGTTGATTGTGGTTAAAGCCTTTATTTGCTTGTTGTTCCTCGATCTTCCTACAAAGTGCACGTTGCTAGTTGATTGAGGGTGTTATGCTAGGTGATGCGATAGTTGAGCTAGCTAGATTCGTTTATATCGATTGTTACTTGATTGCACCTCCCAATATATGGTTTTAATGTGATAACATAGAGGCTATGTTAGGAGAAGCTAATTGACCCCGATAGGTGGCTAGATTGGACCTTATATCGATATTCAAGCATGTTTAGTTCATGATTAATTTGTTTCCATGCCTATGTGTGTTCAAGTGAAGCCTACATCTACCCATTTCCCTTAGTGTTTTCATTGCATTGTTTCTAATTCATTTCACTCTTAGTTTTAATATCTTAGACAACTTCGTTCCCCCTTTTCGACATAGCTTAATTGTTGGTTGTGATCGTAGTGCTTAGATTTCCCTGTGGTTCGACTCCTCTTCTTGCCATATACTTGTATTAGGTTAGTTGATTGTTATAAATTGTATTTGATTTAGGGATAGACAAATTGACGACGTGTTTCTTCCCTTATCAAATTGGCGTCGTTGCCGGGGAAACGGCTTCCATCTATTTCATTACCTTATTGAGACTATCTCATCTTTTATTTGCTTGTTTGTGTTACTCTTTTTACCTGTCAGTGCTAACCATCTTCCTAGCTTTTTTGTATGAACAGGGGATGAACCCGCTCAAGGTCTTTGGTCCCTATCAATCCCGAGCTTGAGAGATCTTTGTCTTTGCTAAGAAGAGAAGCAAGAGCAAGGAGTAGAAACTCCCATACTCCTACAAGAGAGGGAGTGAGAGAAGAAGAAGACACTCCACCTTCCTCACCTTCAAGTGAAGAAGAAGGTAGTCCTAACTCTTCATCAAGTTCAAAAATTAATCCTTTCTCAACCTTTGAGTTCGAGAGTGCGCAACCCCACAAGATGGAAGAAAATACATCTTTGAGTCGTCTTGGGGCTCCCGAAGCCTTTAAAGCGCAAAGTGGGATCCTAACTCCTACTACTTAAGTCAACAACTTTGAAATCAAGCCCAATTTGATTGCCTTGATAGAGCGGAAACAATTATCGGGTGGAAAGTTTGAGAGTCCTCATGAACATCTAAAAGAGTTTGAGAAATATTGTGATACGATAAAGGTCAACGGGGTGACTCAAGAATACATTCGACTCAAGATGTTTCCATTCTCTTTAATTGGGAAAGGTTTAGAGTGGCTAGAGAAGGAGGTGCCCCCTAACTTTCTCACAACTTAGGACCAAGTTACTTCGGCATTCTTGAGGAGATTCTACAATCATAGAAAAACCGCCGAAGCTCGATCTTTGATTCAAGGCTTTCGTCAAAAGGGTAGTGAGTCATTAAGTGCGACTTGGGAAAGATACAAAGAACTCCAACGCCAATGTCCACACCATGGAATACCCAAGTATCAACTCATTCACACCTTCTATGGTGGTCTCACACCTCAAGTAAGAACAAGCTTAGACGTTGGAGCCAGCGGTCCAATCATGAACAGAGGACGAAGTGGAATATATCATACAAGAGGTCGCAAAGCATTATGAAGATTGGTATAAAGGTGATAGGGATTCTACATCTAGCAAAGGCACGGTTTACGCATTAGAGGGAAAGCCAACGTAATCAACAACCTCTCCACCCAAATCTCCAGAATGACCAAGCAGATGGATGACCTAATGAAAGAAAGATCCAATCCTCGAGGTAATTCCTCCCCTTCAACCAAGGGAGGCAATGGTAGAACACTTCCTCCCCTTCTTTTTACAATACAATGCCTTAAGGATGTTTGTTTTGGTGTTAATTGTGGTACCGATGATCATGATACATCTCAATGTGTGTATTCTTGTGAAATTCAACTCCTTCCCCAAGAACATGATGATAATTTAGAAGATATTAATGCTATGAACTTTTCTCCTCGGATGGGGAATGTGGGGAATATGAGGCCAAACCCCAATCAAATGGGGAATTGGAATCAAAGTGGAACCATGGTTGGAACCAAAGTGGTGGTGGTTATGATAACCAATACCATGGTGGGGGAGGCCTTTCCAATTTCAATGGAAGAGGCTACCCTAACCAAAGAGGGTATGGTAATCAATACCAACAACCCAACTCCCAATACTATGACCATCAAAATCAAAGTTTTGGTGATCAAAGTAACATGGGAAACAATCAACAACGAAATGTTCCTAACCAAGGCATTGGAGGCAATAGAGGTCAACATGTTTCTCATTATGCCCAAACTAATAGGCCTCCGGGTTTCCATCAACCCCAACTTCCCCCACCTCAACAACCTCTTCAACTTGAGGCTCCACCAAATGATTCTGTCATGGCTAAACTAGATACTTTATTGAAATTGCATGAAGAGGATAAAAATGAACCAATGCTCACATGAAAATGCTTGAAACTCAAATTGCTCAACTTGCATCTAGTTCTTCTAATTCATCCCCTTCCTCCTCTTCTACCCTTCCTAGTCAAGGAGTCAAACCTAAACCTATGTATGTTGTGACAACTAGGAGTGGAAAGGTAGTGGGGAGTGACCCTTTGATTAAGAAGAAGCCTCATGAAGAAGTGGAGCTTGAGGATGAGAGTGAGAAAGCCAATGAGCCTTTGGGAGGTGAGAAAGAAAATGATATTGTTGAGGAACCAAAGGAGAAAGAAGCTACCCCCTTGCCCCTAAATCGCCTATCTAGAGAGGAAAAGCTACCCTTTCCACAACGATTTGTGAGATCTAAGCTTGATGCATAATTTGGAAAGTTTTTGGATGTCATTAAAAATTTGCATGTTTCCCTTCCTTTTGTCGATGCTATGAAATAAATGCCCCACTATTCCAAATTTTTGAAAGACCTTTTGAGTGGGAGAAGGGAGTGTGAAACCGTGAACCTAACCGCCAATTGTAGTGCCATCCTTTCCAACAAACTTCCTACCAAGTTGAAAGATTCGGGTAGTTTCTCCATTCCCTGTTCCATCAATGGTGTTGAGTTTGAAAAGGCATTGTGTGATTTAGGAGCAAGTGTAAGTCTCATGCCCTATTCCGTCTACCAAAAGCTTAGTGTGGGAACCCTCTCCCCTTCAAATGTTACTCCCCAACTAGCGGACCGTTCTACTAAGTTTCCCATGGGTAAGGTTGAGGACATTCCCCTTAAGGTTGGAAAGTTCACATTTCCTGTGGACTTTTATGTGCTAGAAATGGATGAGGATGAGAGGATTCCTATAGCTTTGGGTAGACCGTTTCTAGCTACCTCTAGAGCTATCATTGATGTGAAAGAGGGTAAACCCTAAAAATTAACAATGACTCCATTGAATTTGATTTGAATAGTGCCATGCAACATCCTTCCCCAAGTGGTGAATGCTTTAGAGTTGATATTCTCGATACCGTGCTAAATGAATTCTCTTGCTCCCATTTGCATGCTACTAATGATCCTCTTGAAAGTGTTTTGTTGAATGGTTCTAAGATAGGTACTCACAAGGAAGACATGCAATTCTATGAGGATTTTCTCGAGGAAAGCAAAGGGGAGTGCAAAGATGCAAACATGGAGGAAGGGACTCCTTTCATTCATGACCTCTTCCAAGTTGAAGAAAGATAAGAGGGCTTCAATGGTAAGGGAGCACAAAAGGTAGAAATGAAACCTCTACCTTTGGGCTTGAGGTATGCATATCTTGACGCCAATGAGTCTTTTCCCGTAATCATCAATTCTAACCTAACGGAGGAGCAAACCTCCCTCTTGATCAATGTTTTGAGAAAACACAAGAAGGCTTTGGGTTATACCATTGATGACGTCAAGGGTATAAGTCCATCCTAATGCATGCATAAAATTGATCTAGAGGGAGATGTTAAACCCGTTAGGCAAAGGCAAAGGAAGCTCAATCCTTCCATGCAAGAGGTTGTGCGGAAGGAATTTTCTAAGCTTCTTGAGGCGGGAATTATCTACCCAATCGCTCATAGTGATTGCGTATCCCCCGTACAAGTTGTGCCGAAGAAGGGTGGCATGACGGTGGTGAAAAATGATCATGATCAACTAGTTCCTACTAGGCTTGTTACCGGTTGGCGTATGTGCATTGACTATCACCAACTCAATACGAGTACATGCAAAGATCATTTTTCATTGCCATTCATTAACCAAATGTTGGAAAGGCTTACAAAGCACTCCTTCTATTATTTCCTTGACGGTTCTCGAGATTTTTCCAAATCCTGATTGACCCCAAGGATCAAGAGAAGACGACATTTACTTGTTCCTATGGTACCTTTGCGTACCGTAGGATGCCTTTTGGGCTTTGTAACGCCCCCGCCACATTTCAAAGATGTATGATGTTAATCCTTTAGTGATATGATTGAGGATGAGATAGAGGTCTTCATGGATGATTTCTCCGTTGGGGAACCACCTATGAAGATTGTCTATCCAATTTATCTCGTTGCTTGGAAAGATGTGAGAGGGCTAACTCGTGTTGAATTGGGAGAAGTGCCATTTTATGGTAGAGAATGGGATTATTCTTAGGCACAAAATCTCCCATGCCGGCATCGAGGTGGATAGAGCCAAGGTGGAGGTCATTCAGAAACTCCCTCCCCCTACCAATGTAAGGGAAGTGAGGTCCTTTCTTGGCTACGTCGGGTTCTATCGTCGTTTTATAAAAGATTTTTCTTTGATTGCTAAGCCACTCACATCCACTACTACAAAATGAGTGTTTTTTCGACGCTGGTGCCTCGGTGCTAGGTAAGGGGTGTGAGGTGGATTTAGTATCCGCGTTCTTTGGACGCTTTTAGGTGACGAAAGCAATTTCGTCGCTGGAAAGCGTCGAGAAGACAAGCACATGTCACGCACGTGAATTGTTAGTACCTCACAAGTCACAACTCAGCCCATGTTTCAATTTTAAGGGGGGGAAAAAAAAAGACTACTCAGTTCTCAACCCTAACTATTCCTCTCTCCTTCATGAATTCTAAATCCAGATCTTAACTCTCCCTGCAATTCCCCAAATTATGCTTGGTGAAATTTCTCTACTCACTTTGAACTGTAATCGATTTTGTCACTCTCTATGCCGCCGCCTAATTCTAAGGTACATCTTTCATTGTAGAACGAATTTGAATTTCGCTTTTGATTGAAGTTTATTAAATTGTTTTTAGCAACTTTTTTTTCAACATTATCAAAAACTTATGATTTGATGTTGTTTGATTTTTGAATAGCAGTACGGAGATTATAGGGTTTTATTATATTTATATATACAATGTTATGCTTCATTTTGCGATTTACATTTGAATCTGGGTAAATATTCGGTTATAAGAAATAGTATAGTCAGATTTCATGTGCGAATTTAAAAGAAGTTTATATTCAATCGATTGAATTGGAAATTTTGAAGCAAATTCCTAAAGAAAAGTTGAGATTTTGAGAAGCAGTAAGAAATGAAGAAAAATAACCAAACCGGAATGACAGTTTCTTGTTCCTTTTTACTGTATTTAATTGGTTGTTTGACAGATTTTTGTTTATTTTTTAGTTAGTTTTAATCAGATTCAATTCATCTTTGGTTGTTGCTTTTACCTAGCAAATGTTACTTGTAATTTTGTATATGATTTTTCAATTTAATAATTAATTCCTCCTCTAGATCTATGCATCAAATACAGTGTTAAAGTTCTTTTGGTTTGCTTTCTTCCATTCTTTTTTTTAAGGGTGTACTAGGGACTGTGATTAAGAGGTTTTGAAGAAGTTTTTTCTCTACTTGATCTCCCTGATGCTCTTGTCTTGCTGACATAGCAGCCACGTTGGCAGCCTCATGGCTGGTGGCTAGGCAACAGGTTGGGTGTTGCAGGTAAGTATGTGTTGTTGCTATTGTTATTAATTGTTGTTATGTTTTTTTCTCTTGTTTGATGTTGCTGTTGCACACATTGAGGCGGTGTTGCAAATTTGCTACTACCTTCCTTAGTTGACTGAGCTGCTGCCCTAGCTATCTTCATGGTTGTGTTTGTGTCCTATCTTGTGTGTGTGTGTGTTCATGATTGTGATTGTGTCCTATCTTGTGTTACTTAGACTTGAATCAATAAAAGAAATCCATTTTGTGAATTTATAAAACTACTAGGATTCTACTTTGACAAAGCTAAGCTCACCTATGGCCTAACCTCACTTGCCTGTAGGACCTTTTTTAGTTTCATCTTGTTATATACTTTGACTAAAATCAATAAAAGAAACACTATTTATGTATTAATAACTTACCTATAGGACTCTAGGACTCAAGTTTAATAAATCTAAGCTTACTTTTTTTTTCCAAGGAGGTCAGCAATTGCTTCAGAAACTATGGGGAATGAAATTTACGAGCTTGTCTGGAGATATGTTTATTTATTTAAGAACTTTTTCATACTTATTTATAGGTGAAAGAGCCATTTTATGAGCTAGGTTTTTGTATACATCTTTAACCTTTTTTCGGTAAACTTTTGTCCATGTTTGAATATTTTATAAATATAAGAGATAAATCATTTGATTATAGAAATTATACTCTGAAATTACGAGTTAGCACAAGATAAACTTTGATTAAAATCTACTCTCTTCAACTAAATTGTAACATATTCTTCTTCAACTAAATTGTAGCATAAAATTACGATTTATTAATTTTTTTTTTGTCTTATTTGTACTCTCTGGCTCTCTGCTCACTTAAAAAAATAAATACTTAATTAATAAAACTATAGAATCCTGATGATTGTATGGAATACTATCTCTTTTGAAAAATGAATGGCCTTGAAATGAGGGCTGTAAATCCTGCAATAGGTGTAGTTTGATTAATTCATTTTTCGGAATCTTGCCTTCTGAAGTAATAAGGTTTTTTAAAATCCTGCATTTGAAATAGAAGTGTTCAGAATTAGCATGAATCAAATTAAAGGCATGGCAATACAAGAATTCGAGAAAAGCAGTAATATTGCTAGGAAGGCTGCATCATTTCCTATGTACGATGAGAAAGAGAGTGGCAATCTATACCTGATGTAATTATCTGCTAATATTCTACTGTAATTTTCTGTTAGCTTGTTATTTGCCTCTTGTTGATTTAACAATTTTATGTACTTTCTTACATGTAGAAGTACGTTGCTATCGATAAAGTGTTTCTGTTTGAGATAGCTAGTTTAGTAAAAGGTTCAGACTGCAACATCTATTCGCTGCTTTTGATGTACGGTGCCAAGGTTAATGATCAGATTTTGTTGTGTAGGGAAGGATACATTTGAGCTTTATTTTTAAGTTTTAGCTCATGATTAATTAGTTTTTCATTAAGCTCATAAGATGCATACATGTGCCACGGTTAAGGAATCATTAGCAAAATTATTATAGCTCAACTAATTAGTTTTTGAGTACATTGTTTAAGGATATCATAACCCCACTATCATATCCCTCTGACAATGGTGCCTCACTGCCTCCCCATCTAAATAATATATCAACCTCATTGAATAAGTTTGTGGGTTCAGTAGTTCATGAAAATTAGCCTACTTAATTTCTTGTGTTGACTTGCCAATTAGGTGATACATCACACAACGAGTAGGACTAATGATTCGAAGGTTTTCCATGAGCATTTTTGTCCTTGATATTATATTTTATTTATATATTGTTGCGCAATAAACTTTAAAATAAATAAACACTGATTTTATGAAATAGGATTGCTATATTAGTGTTGTTTATGAAAACCATCCATTTTGATGCTGACTGCTAATGAATTCTTGTTTATTGTATTCTGTCAGGTATATATCCTAACAATATATAAAATAACTCAAGCATCGTCTTGCTGCTGGTATGTTTTGCTTATCTTGAATTTTTATTTTTAATTTTAAATTGCAAGATTATAAGATTATCTCAAAATTATATGAGGTGATTATCAATTATATGAGGTGTCTGGTGTAAAATGGGGGTGTTTTGTCCATTTTCTAAAATAAGCATACATACTTATGTTGGTCAGACTGGCTCTGATGAGTGTTTAGCCTATTGAAGTTTCAGGTGTGAAACTAAAACCTTCTTTCTCTTATCCCCCCCTAGCTTCCCTATACATTAAAATGAAATGTATCTTTGCATTTGTTCATTGTAGTTTTCATGCACTGTGATTCTGATTTCTCCAAACTATTTATATGCTTTTGCATAATCTAGCTACTATCGATGCTGAATTTCTTTCAGATTATGAACCAGATCAGAGGAAAATAAGAGCCATCGTTTTGTCACATCTAGAAATATTTACGTTCTTTGATAGGTAACATTTTGAAGCATAAGTGTCTTATTCCTGTTTTAACATTTCATCATGGTTGTAAAATTTTCTACTTTCAGCTTACTCTAGTGTAGTTTTGAGTTATTTTAATGAATATTATTTCACTTTAATTGCCTTCTTTTAAAAATGCTTTCTTTTTGTATTGCTAGTTTATTGTACTTGAATACCCTTATTCTGAAAGAAGGGGGTGACTTCTAGTTATTACCTTAAAGTCTTAAGTGTGGTTTCTTTATGTGCTTCTGGTTTGATTCAATTCAGAAAATTAGCCTTTTGTTTCATGTTTTTGAATGAGCATGATCGCATTGTTTTTCGTCTCACAATTCCATCACAATTCGCATTGATTATCGTAGGAGCTGCTGTGAGTGCTGACTTTGTTTGGGTCGTTCTCCTTCGTTAGAGAAGCTTTTTAGGTGATTCTTTTTTTGAATTTGGGTTTTTTTTTTGTCTACTTTCTGCTTTTCAAATTTCAGAATTTTTGGAGTTTATTTGCTATCAAACTAGGCTATTTTGTTCGGACTGGTCTGTTTTGGTTCGAATTGGTTAATTCTTGCTGTTTGGGTGGGATTATAATAGAGTTGTTCTGTAATTTTCTCTAGGGATTTCCTGGGTGATTTAGGGTATATTGAGGGTGTTTGAAAATATTATAGCACTCTTTATTCCCCTGTGTTTCTTGCTGCTACTATTTTCTTGTGCGTTCATTTTCCCTTGTATGTGATTACTATGGCAGAGGAATTGGTAAATAAAAAAAATTATGGATGATTTCCATCAGAAATGTGAGTAACTTGATTAGAGAACAAAACAACTAGATTGTCAGACTAAGTCTAGATTCGAGGCTTCCTCTACTCTAATAATTGACATCATAAAAAAAAACAAAAAAGAATAGTGATGATGATTCTTCTAGTGATGGTATGAATCAAGAGTTACCATAATTGTGGTATACTGCGATAAGGTATATATTCTCCAAAGAAGTCTAAAAGGTTAATGGCTGTTTTTTCCTCTTTGAATTGCAGGTTTGAGCATTTTGTCACAACCTGAACTTTGTTTTACTCCCCCCTGCAAGCAGCTTAAGAAACCATAATTGTGGCTTTCGACTAGACGTGTAACGAGAATAGCCAAGAAGAAAAAAGGTACATCACCATCCTCTCTCTCTTTTTATTAGGGCTCTGCATATTCATATATTATTAATATTCATTGCAGAAATCAAAACTTAAGAATTTGGCAAATGATGTCTTGTCTTCTGTGTGTATGGATGCCTTGATATTTTTGGTATGTTCTTTACTCCATAATTAGTTATGAAAGTTGGTTGTGATTTTGATTTGCTTAACTTATTAGGTGGAAAATATTTTTCAGAGATTATATCTCTGTATAGTTAGTAATTTTGATCTACTATTGTATTTAGATTCACTTGTTGATGTATTGATTGATGCATATGCTGAAATGTGTTTGCAGGATCAAAAAGATTATATATTGAGAAACGGTAGAAAAGGGCTGACTACTAACACTGCAGTATTTCAAGGATGGAAGAAAGATATATTTTAGCTGACTTACTAACACTGCAGTATTTCAAGGATGGAAGAAAGATATATTTTAGCTGTTTAAAGATTTCAATCAGTGATTCGGAATTTGTTCCACTACAACTAGTCATGAATGAAGTATAAGTTGGAATTATATTTATTGTAATAGAAAACTCATTACTATGAGATATTGTACATATGCTATAATATATTAATATGAAATAAAAAATATTCAGCATAATTTTGTTGTACGTGTATCTTTTTTTTTTTTTTTGTTAATATTAGTATGCTAGAAATAATTGTCGGTGAATAAAATGCTGTATCTTATTTTGGTATTCTAGATATTTATTTACAGAATATTGACAAGAAAAAGAGTCCCCAAATTAGAAAATATGGACATGAAAAAGCGTCGCCAAAATGTTAGACATCAAATGTTTGAAAATCTAGACATCAAAAAGCGTCATCAATTTTAAGATTCTTGACCACAAAAAGCGTCACCAAAGTTAAGAAAGTGCGTCAACTGTTGAAAATTGCGACGCTTCGTATAATAATCTGGACAAATAAATCGTCGCGATTCGCGACGCTTTTTGATGTCGGCAAAATCTCGACTCACTTTTTCTCGACGCTTTTTATAAGCTCGAGAAAGATTTTTGCGACGCTTTTCTGTGTCGAAAAAAGGCTTAAAAGCGTCTAAAAAGCACGCTTTTTGTAGTAGTGATCTCTCTTGCAACAGGATAAAGAATTTGTCTTTGATGTAGCTTGTCATGAGTCATTTTGTAGGTTGAAAAAGGCTCTTTGCACCGCCCCTAGAGTCCAAGGACCGGATTGGTCTCAACCATTTGAGCTAATGTGTGATGTAAGCGACGAGGCCATTGGATCGGTCCTAGGACAAAGAAAGGATGGGAAACTTCACGTTATACACTACTTGTCCAAGACTCTCAACGATGCTCAATGGAATTATACAACTACCGAGAAGGAGTTCTTGGCGGTTATCACTCATTTGAGAAATTTAGAGCCTACCTCATTGGTTCTAGGACAATAGTGTATACCGATCACTCGACTCTCAAATATTTGATAAGCAAGAAGGAGGCCAAACTGAGGTTGTTGAGATGGGTTTTGGTCCTTCAAGACTTTGATTACGAAATGAGAGATAAGAAGGGAGCCAAGAACGTGGTGGCGGACCATCTTTCTAGGTTAGGAGGTGCAAGAATACATGAAGACGGTTTGCCAATTGAAGATGCCCTAATGGATGATGTCTTATATGCTCTTGAGGCGAAATCGGAGCCTTAGTGTGCGGATATTGTGAACTACTTGGCTTGTAGTTCCATACCTCCGGATTTCATTCCTCAACAACGTCAAAGGCTCAAGCATGAAGCAAAGAAGTATATATGGGATGACCCCATTTTGTTGAAGAGAGGGGTTGATGGTCGAGAAGATGCGTCCCCAATGATTTGAAGTGTTCTTCATATGTGTCATTCCTCTCCTTGTGGTGGTCATATGAGTGCTCAAAAGACAGCTTCCAATGTTTTGCAATGCATGCTCTTTTGGCCCTCTCTATTCAAAGAAGCTTGGCAATTTGTTAAAACATGTGATAGGTGTCAAAGGGCGGGGAACATCTCTAGCTAGGAGGGATGAAATGCCTCAAAACCCCATCCTTGAGCTTGAAGTTTTTGATGTTTGGGTAATAGACTTCATGGGGACCTTCATTTCTTCTCATGGGAACAAATACATCTTGGTAGCCGTAGATTATGTTTCCAAATGGGCAGAAGCCGTGGCTTCTCCTACAAATGATTCCAAGGTGGTTGTGAACTTATTCAAAAAGGTGATCTTTCCGAGGTTTGGTGTCCCTAGGGCTATCATTAGTGATGGGGGGTCACATTTCAAGCATCACACTTTCACTAGACTTCTCGATAAGTTTGGTGTATCTCACAAGCAAGGACTTTCTTACCACCCTCAAACAAGTGGTCAAGAGAAGATAACCGATGGGAGCTTTAAGTCAACAAGAAAGGATTGGTCCTCGAAGCTCATTGACTCTTTGTGGGCTTATAGAACCGCCTTCAAGACTCTTATAAGGACTACTCCCTATAAGCTTGTTTATGGGAAGAATTGTCATTTACCCGTAGAGATGGAGCACCGAACGCATTGGGCAATCAAGCAAATCAACTTTGATCTCCATAAAGCGCGTGAGCAAAGGCTTCTAGAGCTTCATGTGTTGGAAGAGTTGAGAGTGAATGCCTATGATAGTGCAAGCTTATACAATACAAAGCAAGAATCACGGCTAGGTACGATGCTCAAATTGTCAAGAAGGAATTCGTCAAAGGCCAAAAGGTTCTCCTCTACAACTCTCGCTTGAAGCTTTTTCCGGGCAAGCTAAGATCAAGATGGAGTGGGCCATTCGTCATCACAAAAGTGTTTCCCTATGGTGCTTTTGAGATTTCTAATGAGTGTACCCTCCAATTAAAGTGAATGGGCACCGTCTTAAGCCTTATTATGAAGATCACCCCATTGACAAGCCGGTTTTTATTATCCTCATTGATGCGCATAATGCATTTGATCCTCCTTGATTTGACTCAAGGAGCGTTGAGCTAACGACGTAAACCAAAAGCGCTTTCGGGAGGCAACCCGAGTTTTTAACCCTCTTCTACTCTATTTTCTTGATTTTTTTAATTCTTCTTTCTACAACTTTGGATTGATGGTTTTGTGTGTATTTGGTTTATGTTGGTATTCTTGTTTGTCTTGCCTTCAAAGGGAATGCATTTTCCATGTTCATTTGGCATGATTGTGTGGTATTTTAGTGTGTCTTGAAGAGAAGTTTTGTGCAAATTTTGAAGAATTAAGGATTTTGGGGTTATTCGACCGAACCCCCCAAGAGTTCAGCTGCTCCTGCTCTAGAATTGAAATTGGGTTGCAATCTAATTGTTTTTTGTAAAAATTTGGTGGTTCGACCGAACTCCTTATAGGTTTGGTCAAACTTTTGAAAAGTTTGATTGAACCATCTAGAGTTCGACCGCTCCTGTTCTAGAAATCAAAATGGGTTTCAATCTACCAAATTTTGGGAAATTTGGAAGTTTGCCTGAACTTTTCAAAAGTTTGGTCAAACCTCTGCAGGTCCGACCGAACTTCTTCATGGTTCGACCGAACCTTTTTCGAGCAGCTCCCAATTTTTTTTGAAAAAAGCTGCAGCTTTCTCATTTCTCCTTCATTCTTTTCAGCCCTCTCTCTCTCTTCTCTTCTCCTTCTCACTCTAAGGGGGTGTTTGGTATGGAGTTAGTATAGGAAACGGAATGGAAATAAATTAGGAGGGGAAAGGGTAACAAATAGTGTTACCCTTACTAGTTGTTTGGTACATCAAAGGAAACGGAAACAATTATCACCATTCCTTTTCCTCTTGTTTGGTATAACAAACGGAAACGAAAAATAACAATGTATAACAAATGGAAAAATATAGCAAATTAAGTTGGCACTCATTTAAACATCGACTAATATGTCATTCATAATCATATCATCATCATATGAATAATCCCAACACAGAACCTATATTACTCAATTCTGGAAAACAAATTTATACATCAAAATTTCATAAACATAAAAGAGTTGTAAAGATCAATGAAATTTGAGTTTCAACTACTACCAATTCAGCTCTATGCTTAAGCTATAAGTTTTTTTTTTGCTTTAAACGAGATATAGCAGCAAGGCAAAACCTCCACTACTCTACATAATAGCACACAACCAAATGCTACTTCTTCTTAAGAAGTTCTATTGCATATTGTTTTTTCATATTAAAAGGTGCTTGATAAAAGATGCGAAGCTTATGTTCTTCCGCCATGAGAATAGTAGCAACCTCTAAAGCTTCGGATGGAGAAATGCCATCTAACTTCATCACCTCATTCAATACCTTGTTCACCTTTAATAATTTTCATCCATCCTTTGCTCCCTTTCTTCCGCTTTAGACCATGCACTAGCCATAGTCCGGAGATTAACATTGATATTTTCAAATATCTTCCCAAAATTGTTGGAAACATCATGGAGGGAGACCACCAAATCATCATCATCATTCCTACACAAACTCTTCAAATTTACCTTGTTCTTTCCTTTCACCTTAGTCTCTTTCGCCTTTATAGAGCATTTTCCAAATTGAGTAGTAGAATCACTTACGGAAGAATGAATTGTATAAGCCTTCACTATTGCCATTTTCGAAGGAGTTATATGATCATCCTATATCTTCATGGGGCGTTTTCCGGATTGACTTGTAAGAAGAATAAGTGTCCGAATGAGTAGAATTCACATCATCTTCTTCATCACTCTCGACATTGAATGGTTGCTTATCAATCTCTTGATCCATTTCTTCTATAGCATCAACAAACGACTCACTTGCATCTCCGGTAGCTTTGTCTTTTGCGTATATCTCTGCAAGAGTTTCATAGTGAATGAATGGAACTCCAAAAAACCCTTTAGCTTTCTTATAAGTCTGCCATATAAGAGAATATAACAACTCAAAACATGAAATTCAGAACTGAACTAGGCAAACATACACTATACATGGAAGCAGATTCAGGTGTTGCTATACAGGATGGGTGCAATAGCAGCACTTTTATCTTAGAGACCAGTAAACACACAAACATACACTGTACTACCGTCTGAGTCTATAGAGATTAGAGACCAGAGACTGGACAGTCGCACAGTCAGACAATAAACAATAAACAGCTTCATGTTCCTATTATTAGCCTTTTTTTTATCTGCTCTTATTTGTATTAAGATAACTTAAGCAATACAGTACATTGATTGATTCATTCATGTATCTTTATATTTTTCTATATCTGTTTCTGCACGAAGATGGCCTTTTCTTGTTTCAACAGAATGAAGGCAAAAGGACCTTCCATCCTCAGATTAAGAAATACAAGATTATAAATTCCAAACTTCATGATTTTTTTTCTCAGTATATAGTAAGTACTTTTTCTAAGCATTGGTATCTTTGTCAAGTCCAAAATAATCTAAGTATCTTACAATAGCAATTTTTATTCGAGTTGATGTTTGCCAGATCATGGAGGTATTGAATTACCAATCCTAACATCTTTTTATTCTCTTTTGTCAAAGGTTCCTGTCATGGTGGATATTGATAAAGAACCAACAAAATCCATCAGAAAGAGTCACAACAATTGGAAAAACTTTTTCTTAGACAAGGACATTGAAACTAAATATATTGCAAATTTAGTCAAGGAGTTAGAAGACAGGATGATTTAGGCATGCACCTAGAGCAAGGAAATAAACCAGGATTTTGGAAATAAAACACTGCATATTTCAATTGCAATCTGCACAGAGAAGTCAGGTTATTATCTGAATAGAGAAGTCAACCAAGGATTACAACTATGCTATCAAAAAGTCACAAGCAGCACATCACCAGTGGACATTCTAAGAGCAGAAACACAGAGGAATGAAATAGCAGTTCATACC